TCGCTCGCAGGGATAAAGAGAGCATACGCGCGTATACTAGGAAATGCGCGCGAGAGAGGGTACGGTGGTATATTCATATGTTGCGCAGAAATGAACAGAACGGGCTCGGCGGGCATTAAAATTAATGAAACGGACGGAACACGCGCGTTTTAACGAAAATGTATGTGGGCGATCAGGCGGAAGCGCTCGCCCTCTCTTGCTCTCCCTTGTGTGTTGTCTCTCTTTCTCTCTTTCTGTCTCTCTTTCTTTCTCTCTCGAAAACCGGGGTGGCGGGAAACTCGTAAACGCCCTTTGGGCTCACGAATATCCACTGTGTTGTGTCTTTTTTCCACATGCATTCCATCGTCGTTTTTTTACCGTTGTCCCGCGTACGTGGATGTAATGTTGGATACTATCAACCTATCAAAGTCGTCGAATGGTAGCCATTTTCAAATCAAACGGATGTTTATAATCAGATAATGTAACGAAATGTTTTCAGTTAAGAAAAGGATATCCATAAATAAGATATCCATCAAACTCATTTTTTTAAATAAAATTAGTATTTTTTAAAGATAAATTTTTTTTTCTTTATTTATAGTAAATTTTGAAATCTTTACTATTAGACATTTAACATCTATAACATTTTTATTAGTGATAAAATTTTAAACTGAAGACTTAAATTTTTTTTGAAGAATAAAATTTAAAATTTCCTAAAAATCGACTGTTTCATTTTATCTCCATGTTTGATTTGCTTAACGAAACTCTTTGCTATTAATACAACACTGTTATATTTATTTTATAATATATTGATATATAATATATTAACTAATATGAATGAATGTAAATTAGTCAATTCTTTCAAAGATTCAATATCATCAAACATCAATCAAGCCTCTGTCTTTCTCTTAAAAAAATTTTTATCAAAATTTCCTTACATCTTTGTCATATCGTTGTGTTAAATTCACGAGACCCACGCAGCTAACGAAGACAGACTTCGAGATGGACGGTTTCTTAATTAAGAAACTTAACTTGACCGTGGCTGAAGTCACGGAAATATCGAACCGATGACAACCTGACGTTTCGCCATCGCTGAGGGGGTTTTACCGCACGAATATAAATTCCTCCATTATCCAGTTATAAGTTATCGTGAGGGACATGATGATTCCTAGCAAACAACTCTTCAGCCAACACATCCTTAAAATATTAAATACTCTTAGTCAATACCTAATATAACTCTTCTGAGCGAAGGCATATTTAGATCGTCGAAAGTACATAAAATAATCGAGAATATTTTAAAGGAAGTTCTTCGATAAATTTAAAACTGAGCTTTTTTGAGAAAATGTAAAGAATAATGTTCATCTGTAACAACTTTTTTACTTGTAATATATAAGGTAGGTAATATATAAAACAATTATTAATTTTTTTTTAAATTAATATTGTTATTTTTAGCGTCAAAATAAGTCATGTGGTCAAAACTGATGAATATTAACGTCAAATATGACGTGATCTGTTTTGATGCTAAAAATGAAAGTCAAGCATGAACATAAAAGGTTACCTTATTCCATTTCTATACTATAAAGTCACGAGATGATGTGTATAAAATACCGCAATAATAGCATATTTATCTTTTTAAGTATTTAACGTCAAATTGGCGGATGTACATAATTCATTCATTTCATCGACGCTTAGGTGCAGTTATCAAAATTTTTTATGTATTTTTTATCGCACTAAACATTTATCTTTTATAAAATTTATTTTCTCTTTCGGTGGTTATATGTGTTGATGTGTATTTTCACCTTCAAAACTGTACTTCGCGCACTTTTATGCATTAAAACTTTTGATGAAAAATAAATCCGTATTAAATTAAAGACCTACATGAATTAAGTATTTGTATATTGTTTACGTATTTTCTTGTATATAAATAAACTGATTACAAATTAAAAAAATGATTTACATATTTTACGGTTTTATTTTCCCTCACAAAATATGTGTTTATATAAATGTATAATTATAACTTTGGAATGGTCGCGTTTGGCATTAAAATGATGGAGAGTTTGCAGTATTTATCAATGTAGATAATTTAGTTTAGATAATTTATTGGCCTACAGTTAAAATACAGCCATTTTACATACATTCGCAGTCTTGCAGCTACCATTAGATGGCGTTGAAATAACAATATAATTGGATGGGGATTAACATAGCTTATGTCTTTACTCAAATTAAAGCTGTAGAATGTAACAACGAAAAATATATGCTTAAAAGATCTTTTTAACTTAAAAAAAGAAAAGAAAAAACTTATATATCGATCTTGCATTTATTAAAGAATTCAGTTATAACCTCAATTTCATTCGTTTTCATTCTTTTTAAAATTTCTTTAATGTCAATCGGAGTTTTTATATTCAACTTATTAAACTTATCTTAAACATATTCTTTCTTTCTTTGGTAAACTTATTACAAACCCATAATATATTCCCGTCTTCGGTCTCTGAGACCGCAAGAACATTTATCGTTATCGGTTATCTTAAATCTAAATAAACTAAATTTCAAAGAATTATAGCCACAGCGAAAGCGATTGATAGTTACAATTTACAATAGCTTTCCTGCTTAGATTATTGGAAATAAATCACGGTTTACCTGATTGAAAATAGTATAGTTGAAAATACTCAGTAGTCTTTATAAAAAAATTAGCTCTATATGTCAAGAAATCTTCCTTATTGCATTGGGTTTTAAAAATACTAGTAATATCCGAATAAGGCACCTCCACCTCCAGCAAATCACCTTCAAAGGCGGGCTAGGTCCGCATTTTTGTTTCCTTGAATATTACGATAAGCTGGAATCCAAATCAGTTCGATATTTTTATCTTTTTCATTACACCCGGCAATAATATGATTGATTTCTTGAATTAGATGAGATTGGTGTTTAAGTTTGCGAATGTTTTAAAAAGAGCTGAGAATATTCTTGGAATCCGAAAAGATTATAAAATTGACATGCTCAGAGATGTTTATACGTTTTAGGACTGTCAGTAAGGCAATAGCCTCGGCTATATATAGAAGTAACATCTAATAATTTATAACTAAATGTGAAAAACTCGTTTAAGCTCCAGCTAGCCATGCCAACATTCAACCCGCCATCAATATCAGTCCTTCACCAATCAGTGAATATCACCGTACGATCTGACAATCTGTCTTGGAACATTTGAGAAAATTTGATATTAGCATTGTAAGCTTCTTTGATTTCAGCACCGCTTATAAGATCTATGTTTATCGTATTGAGCTGGCTTTTATATTTCACTTAAAATTTGGCCATTGGAGATCTAGATAAAGGTCTCGTAAAGTATAACTGCTTTATAGGAGTCGGCCAGCAGTGGCTTTTCATAATTGTTCTCAAAGTATCCCGCGAGGTTGTTAATTTCTACCATTTTACTTAATTCAATTCATTCTATTTATCAATGTAGTGACTTTATATACTGTGCTGCTATCTCTACTTGAACGTATACACTTATATGATACTATTAAAGATCGATATTCTTGCGGCAGTCGCGTCCTTATTAAAATATTTTAAATTATTAAAAGTAAGAAAGTGATAATATAGTACTAATTTTTTTATTTTTTAATTTTGTAAACATTTATATGTTTAAAATTTAATATTACTGAAGTTTTATTTAAAACTATAATTTTAACGTCATTATCTGAGTAAGATTATCAATATAGACTATAAAGATAATAAATGTAGAGAAAAAAAATTATAATTTTACGACAATATATACGATATTATAGCATTACAATATACATTTATGGAACACTTATATAATAAAAAATTATGAATTTAATAATATATACGTCATATATTATCCAAATATTTATGTTAATAATCGCAATTTTATATCAATTGTCGATAATATCAGCATTCTTCAATTATCTCCGGGTCTTTGAAATCTTTTATATAAAGATCTTAAGGAGTCAAAATTAGAAAAATTACCCAGAATTGACGGTCTTTATTTAACAGTAGTATCTCGTCAATGGCTTTTATTAACGGACACATTTATTTAAAATATTACAATTTTATCGACAGTTGTGAAAAATAGATGCGGTATCAAAGCAGAAAGAAGGTTTCTTTCTGGTATAATACAGAATGGTAGTATTAGAAATCAAGTACCGCTATTATCTTAAGTTATGGAAGTTGATTTCACTGTAGTCATATCAAACATACATATAATCATGAGCATATACAAAAAATTAATGAATTTTTATGCATTTATAATTACAGTGATAAGAATGCCTTCGAGATGCCGCTCGGAGAACTGTGTTCTTCTATAGGACTTTTTAAATAGAGATACTTGAAATATTATTTTAATTTCACTTTTTTTTATGCAACATTTTTTTTCTGCAAAATATACTTGACGTCTTTTTTTACATTTTTAATGTCTTTTTCGATTTTTCGGTGGTATAAAAAGGGTTCCAAGAGCCCGGAGATAATTGAAGAACGCTGACATTATCGACAATTAATATAAATTTGCTAATATTAACATAAATATTTGGCTCATACATTATTAAATTGATGAAATCATGATTTTTTTATTACATAAATGTTTCATAAATAAATATGCATACTTGTAAAACTACAATATTCTATATTGTTGCAGAAAAATTACAATTTTTTTCATTGCAGTTATCATCTCTGTTGATAATCAAACTTTGACGATAACACTGAAATCACGATTTTAAAGAAAAATCGAGTTATTGAACTCAAAATGCATAAATACGTGTACTAAACTAATAAATCATAAAATTAGTACAATATTATCAGTTTTCAACTCTTAATCACTTCAATATTCATAAGAACGCGAACTCCCGTAAGGATGTCAGTCTTTAATAGTATCGTCGGTGGTATAGATAGAGAGAAACTTTTTTTCTCGGCGGTACTTAGTTTTCAAATCGTAAAAATGGTGCGCTAGTCTACGCATTACGTAAAAAAGACCAAGATAGCCACTCTCAAGCCTTTTTATCTATGGCGTCACCTAACCTCTGATCTCTGATAACCTCGTGGTGAAGTTGTTGAAAGCGCAATCCATCGTTCGTGGTACAATATACTAAAAACCCTCTTATTTGCACGTGTTGTTATCAAAGAATGTGTTCGTGACGATTATTTATAATTACGATAATATTTGTTCTCGTAATTGAATTATAATAAATCAAAATGCAGCACGACGACGTAAGTAAAAGCTCTGAGTATAGTTTAATTTAACTATTTTTAATTATTATTGCGTTTTTATTTATAACAAACAATTTTACAGGTTGTGTGGAGTGTTATCAATAAATCATTCTGTTCTTTCAAAGTAAAGTAAGTACATCCTTAAAAGATAAATGTGCAACAAAGTGCTGCGTTGTCACTTGCAACACTTTAAACGTTGTTTCATTCTTGTTGTTTATTAAATATTAAACAAGGACAAATAATGCTCACAAGTGCTGTAAGCGTCAAAGCGAACACAGCCATATTGTAACAGCCTTACTGTTATTGTAATTTTAACATCTCTTGTTTGCAGTACAAAGACACAGCGGTTCTGCAGAAATGAATTTAATCTTACTGGTTTATGCAGTAGAGCTGCATGTCCTCTTGCAAACAGTCAATATGCTACGATTAAAGAAGAAAATGGTATTATTTATCTTTACATGAGAACTGCAGAAAGGTAGATTAAACATATGAATTGTAGTTACGGTAGTTACTAATCTATAACATTTTTTTATAACACTTAAAATTATAAATTTTACGAATATTAGTAAAGAAACAAAGATTAGTTTTAATTCATAATTGTAAGCATCCATAAAATAAACTTTTATCTTTATATGTATATCTTTATAATATTTTCACATGTATATTAATATGTATTAGTTTGAATGTTAATTAAGTTTCTTTTATTTAGAATACATACACCTAAAAATAGCTGGGAGAAAGTCAAACTGTCTAGAAATTTTGAAAAAGCCATACATCAAATTAATGAAAATCTTCTTTATTGGCCTGGTTTCATAAAAGCTAAATGTAAGCAAAGATTTCTCAAGATCACACAGTATCTTATTCGTATGAGAAAATTTAGATTAAGACGACAAAAGAAAATTGTACCGCTTCAGAGGAAAATTGAAAGAAGAGAAAGGCGTAGGGAAGAAAAGGCTTTGATTGCTGCAAAACTAGAAAATGCAATTGAAAAACAGCTTATGGAGAGGTTGAAAAAAGGAATGGTAATTGAATTTTATATTCATTATAAAATTATATATAAAGATTAAGTTATATTTCAGAAATGTTATTTTCTTCATATTTCAGTATGAAGGTATTTATAATTTCCCACAACGAGTATTTGATAAGGCTGTGGGAACTGTTGAAGTTGAAGGAGAAAGTGAAGCAGAAAGCGAGCATGAAGAAGAGCAAGAGAAAGAACTTGAGAAGGAGTTGGAAATGGAATTAGAAGCAGACGACAGAGAAACTGAACAAGATGGTCCAGAATATGTTGAAGCTGATAGCGACGATGATGACTATGAGGACGATGACGACATTGAAGAGCTTTCTATGGTAAGTGATGAATGAAACAGTCATTAAAATATAATTACTTTAATATTTTTTTATAAATACATTATAAATGCTGTATAGGATGAAGATAGTGACTCTGGACAGAAAGAAGAAGTTGAATTATCCGATAGCTTTGAATCCGAAGCTAGTGATATCGAGGTAAGAATTCTCAAGGTCAAAGTAAGTTTATTGCACTACAAGTTGTGATATAAATTGCTCGTGTTTTATTAGGATTTAGTCACACCGTCCACAAGCAAGAAGACAAAAGGACCAAAAGTTGTCAAAAAAGGAAAGGTGCAAAAGAAACCTCGACCGAGAGTCGAAATTGAATACGAAGTGGAAGAAGAGAGTCAGCAAAATAAACAGGCGCGTGTATAAAAATAAATTTGTATTATATAAATATAATATCTTTATAACAAAATCACAAAACGCTGTATAAGTTATTATCCAATATTTCGGTTGATAAAATAATCATGGTATTACATTTGATAATATTTAAACCGTTCATATATCCAGATGCGTTTTAACTTGCATTAAAAGTAAAAAAAAGGTGGAATAGGATACTTTAAGAGTATAATGTCTTTAACGTTTTTTCTCAAGACGTATAAATGTGAAACTCGAATTTCTTTATGGACCGATATGTGAAAATCTCATATTATATATCTATTTCATTAAATAATACCTTTGAGATTTCTCTTGTAAAATTACAAAACCATTGCAAAACAAATACAAAAAAGTCAAACAAATTTTTAAATATAATAATATAAATGATCAAATATCTGATTTATGGCACTAGAAAAGACAAAAACTACTAGCAATTAATATATCTATATATATTTGAAAAAGAAAGAATAAACAGAAAGTAAATTAAATTATTTTTTTGCATATATTATGCAAGAAATCTCAGAAAATACACTTATAAATTTAATAAAACATTACAAACTAATCAATTTTACTACTTTGGTAGTTCTATAGTTTTGAAAATTTAATCAGTCCAGTAATGTTTATATTTTACGTTTGCGTTTGCGTATCGTGTTTTCAAGTCAAACGCAGTACGTTCAAAAGTTCCGCTCACAGACGCGAAGACTACAGAAAGTACATCTTGGGGAGGGGAATCGGAACATCCGAAGCAGCATAGCAGACGATACGATTAATCGTGACGAGTTGAGACAAGTTGAGAGAGAGAGGAGACGAATCTCTACTAATTGTTCGTCGCCGAGGATCTCCGAGAATCGGAGAAACCTTCCTCGGCGAGTTCACCTGCCATCGATTATTCGTGATTGAACTCCAGAGAATCCGATTCGTCGCAAGACAAAGCGAGGTGTCAGTCGATCCGCACTCCGCAGTACTTCGGCATTGCGCATTCGTTTAGAATCGTCACGCACGTTGACATTTTGATTTGATTCTCCGCTATCGGGGACTCCGCCGCAGTCTTCAGGAACTCGGACAAACCGAACGCCAGGAACATGGTGATCCGGCCGTGATTTTGCCCTTTCGCTCGCTATTTATAGAGCTGGCAGGTTATTTCTAAAATCAATCGCACAGATGAGACGCGAGATGAGCGGTGCCGGAATGATACAGTTACGATAAGTAACGCGGGAATTAACGCAAATTAACGTTACAACATACACAACGTTACTGTTACTTTCCAACAAGAGACAATACAACATAGTATCATTTCACCTTTGTTTAACATTGGCAGACAACAAAGATGTTATGATCATTCATTGTGTTATATCGTGTCTTCTGTCTTTTGTTGGAAAACATCTCATGTGTAACATGATTTATAATAATTGCTTCTTGGAGGTACTTCCGAGACAAGAGCGAGATGTTCCGGAGTGTTGTTTTTCTCGATTCGCACGCTGCAGATCCCACGGTCTTGTCGAGCAATTCATGCGATAAATCATTGGCGGTGCGTAGCTATCAACGCGCTCGTTATGCGGATTTATCTCTATTAAGGGAGGTTTCGCAATTTGCAAGTGTTCGCAGAACGAGCGCGTTGTCCTTCGCTCGTAATTTGATTTGATATTTTCGATATGGGTACCAAGTTCCTCTCAATTTCTCCGGCAACCTCGGATCACAGTGTGATCTCATCACATGAATGACTCAAGGGCGTCAACGAATGATAATCTGCTATCTTCTTTGTCTCAGGGATGTCATGGCTTGCGGAGTGATGGATCATTGAATGGAGATGCAAGATTGGAGAGCAACATGAATCTGTATCGCACAACTATCTGACTGGGATCTACTCTTCGAGTTATCGTGTCTTCGTAACTTCACGCACAAATGTCAGGATGCTAAGCGGTGCTGTCAATATGGAACTGAATAATGTTGTGAGCAACAAAAGTTCCGTATACCTTGCACTGTCGTTTCGTAGGCTGTGCCTGGCAACAGTTGGCTTACCACTTGTGTCGCTGTTGTTCTGCTTCATCACAGCATATATATTTCAACAGGACGATATTCACGAAACTCATTGTAGAGTAAGCAAAAGTTTCATATCAAGTCATTGTTACAATAAGCAAGACTTGTGAAATAATATCTCTTTGTTTGTTTAGGTCTATAATATTCTTCCATCGATCTCAGCCATTACTGGAGTATCTCCACAGAGATATTTATGGCGTATCAGTATAGCATTACATATTGGTCCTAGACTGGTTATCGCCAGTGTTTATCATTCATATTATTACAAGATACTTAAGAACATTGAAGATGTGCCTCTACAAATTACAGGGAGCAGGCTCCTAAATCTATGCTACTGGTTAAACATTGCCGAGATAGCAGCTTTGTCTGGTGTAACATATATTTCTAACAGAGAAAATTATTGTAAGTAACTCATAATTTCATATCTGCCATTATTGAAGGATAGAATGACATTTGATGTTATTAACGTTGTTTGTGTTATTCTATATTTATTGTATTCATTAGACATAAAACAAGGATAGAATGACATAAATAGCGCTAATAGCATTTTTTCGAATACACTTTTAGTAAATGATATAAAAATATTTCAGCGGTGCACGAAAAAATTTTCATAGTGTTCATGATTAGCTCGCTCACATACATGTTGACTGCTGTGAGATTGGGTCGTTTAATAACTCCAAATGCACAAAGTCTTCAGTACAAACAAGTGCTTTTTATGACAAGTCTCGTCAGTACAATCTTTCTTATTATTTTCTTCTTAAAACATCGACTGCTGTGTCACGATTTGGGTAAGAAACAATTTGAGTTAAAAATGTTATATTTATTACAGTTTGAAGTAAAAACATAAACAATATTTGTTATTTTGAACAGCATTTAGTTGGTTTTCACTATGTGAGTACGTGATAGCTTTTGCAAATATGGGCTTTCACATCACTGTGGTTTCGGACTTTCCAGAAGAACAACTGATCGTAGGTCACGGTTTACCTGCCGTAAAAATAGATTAACCTTATAGGATAACTCATCATTCTCATCGTCATATTAAAGTACCTATTGCCTCTGCATGGAAGTGCTACAAATTGTTGTTTTTAAGAGATGAAAGTTTGGCATACCACGTGATACATAATTTCACGATTGTCTCAGTTTTATGATATTTACAATATTACATTATGTTACCCTCTTGAGATTAATACAATTTGCTTCCAGCGATATTTAAGAGATAGATATCATTTTTATCTTTACTTTTACATTGTCTCGCGATATTAACTACGATATTCGACCAATAATTCCGAATGAGAAGACACGTGAAAAGAATAAAAAAATATCTAGCGCTTCCAAAATGTGGCACCGGTTACTTTTAAAACGATGAAATATGTAACGGCCTTTTAATATTGTTTAGTAATAGAGTACAATCATAGTAAATAATAGTTAGAAGTATCCTACATACAAACAGCATTTATTGTTAAGCGCAAATTAAATATTATTACTCACATCATATGAGATTACTTGTGAAGACTTTTGAATCTTCTTTTATAGAAACTTTTGCAAGGTGAGAATCTAGTCGAATATATTAATTCTAGTCGCGATCTTTATTCGCTTTATGATACTCCTATTTTATCTAATAAATTGAAATTAAACTATAAGATACATTTATGTCAAACGAACTTTGAGATATTATAATCATAAGTTCATTAAATGAATATTATAATTTTGGATTATTGCAAAGATATTGTACAGTTGTGTCTTGTTAAGCAAATCTTAACAATAAAAATCGTACATGTATATGTTAATACACATTCACCTTGTAAGAGATTAATTCATCTTGTATAGATTTTGAAATAATAAATTCAGCTAATATTTACAAGCCAATCTGTTTGGCATTATTGTAACTGCACAAACGTAGGATAATTGCTCCTATGTTTGTATGTAGTATACGATAGATTAATAATAGCAAATCGAGACACTGACGGTTAAAACGGTCATAATCGTATTACACAAGGATGTGTAAAACGATTGCATTCGGACCAGCGTGCGTTCAAAAGTAAGATCAGTATCTAAATATTTAACACGAATTTATTAAGACAAACGTTTAAAAAGTTTCTATCAAGTTTTATGACTGAAATTTCTCCATTCACTCCTGTTTGAAACAAATATCGTTTGATATTATTTGAAATATGGATTATTTGTGATACACAATATGTACAGGATAAAAGGAGAAACTTTAAAAGATAGATAAAAACTTTTATCTATAATATTTTTTAAATTGTTATTTAATTTTTAATCATAAATGCTAAATAATACTTTGGATTATTAAAAATTATATGTGATTATTTTAAAATATATAATTGTATAAATAATAAAATATATAATATATAATAATATAAAAACGTATAAATTAACAGAGAATAGGTTGAATTTTATAGATTATTTTATAGTTTGAATAATAATCTTTATCGAAAGCGCCCAATAAAATTTAACATGTTTTATTTAAAGTATTGCTAGAAATTATTGCAATAAAATTTTTACTAGTATTTTATAATTATTTAAATCTTGTGCGTGTTTTTTGTTAAGAAAGTTCCATGATCATAGGATTGGGATGAAGTTGCTTATGTGCGTGAATAGACTAGTAAGGAGTGACTACATTCTCAGACTGTAATAAATATCTGCGCAGAATATCTCAGAATTAAATCGATAAATAAAGTAAGATTTATTGTAATAAGCGCAGATGGTGCGTTATCGCAATGTGTCTCTTAGGATTTCGTTGTAAAAGGCCGATAGTGTCAGTATGACTCTAGATAGCACCCGCAGTTAAATAATATCAGTTTTGCACATTTTTACACATGAACATTGTAATTGTAGCATGTTTTGATATGACAACTTTTTGTTAAGATTACTCGTATACCATTATTGAAAAAAGGAAAAAATGAATAGTCAGTGCATATTTACCGCTAGTTTCTCGAAGTACATTTGTAATCATGCAAAGATATGCTACAAGCTTTAGATTTTTGTAATGATCGTAAAGAAGTAATGCTTTGTTTTTTCTACATACGCAGCAAACGTAATCACTGGAGCGTAATATCTCAGTTCCTATTATAATTGGAATCTCAATTTTGTATATATATAGTCAAGATAAAAGTAGATGCATTCAACAATCATTTAATTTACCGATACTATCATCAGAGGTGCCAAGTGATGTACTAAAGATATATCATGAAATTTATCGTTGGTAACACTACGCGTTAATCTTTAGGAATCTTTAATAAATCACATTTGCATCTTACATTTCGTTGAGCAATCATTTTACTCTTCAAATACATTTGTAGCAATGATTGTGTAATGTTTTTTGTACATTATTTCTTTCATTTTTAAAGAGACAAGAATCTAAAAATACATCAATATGACTAGATCGATTATAACAGAACATATTCAATTTCTAATGAATTGTAAACTTATGTTGGTATTCTTGGAATACATACAAAGATTAAAATTGGTTTCTTAAAGTAAATGTTTACTTTTCAGTAAAAATGGAATTAAATATAAAATAATTACTGTAACAATATTTACATCTCTAAAATTGTGATTTAAATGAGAGATTCCAATTACTTTATTTATCTTTGAAAAATTATCCTCGAATTCCTCAGGGAATCTATTATTTAAAAAAGATAAGCGGAGGAAGCATTTTATATGTGTTTTAGTTGATAAGTAATAAATAATGCAAATTGCATTGTGAGTTATATAGCGAATGGATAAATACCGAATGTCTCTTATATAAATAAGAGACTTATATGAATTAATAATATATAAAATCAATATCAATATCAAAATTTTTTTTAGAAATACGGCGTTTACTTGTAAAAATAAGTTTCAAAAGTATTACGAAATGAACAATTTTGTTAGAAAATACAGAAAGAGTATAATCTCCTAATATTTATTTTATAAGCGCTAATGTTGAACTTAACGCTTCTAAAGAGAATTGTACTAACATTAATTTAGTTAATTATAATTTTGATTGTGACTGTGCGCCTCATAATCGCTCTGTGATTTATTAATACTCATGAATTTATCGTTAAGATATCAACACATCCTCAGAGTGATTCGAGGAAGCTAATGAGATTAAATGCTATAAAGTGTAAGAAAAAAATTATTTATCATTATCTCCCCTGAAAATATTTCTTCACTTCCGTAAGATAAGTACGCACTTAGAAGCTTTTAAGGGTGAAAGCTCTGGAAACATATTAAAAAATTTCGTCATATGATTTACATTAGCGATAATGACTAAACATATCTGTCAAGAATTTTTATCGTATTCGAAGTTCTCTTCTTTCGCTGTAAATAACGCTAGCATGATATATACCTATCTTATACAAACGATGGAGTGTATGTTAACGATATATTAAGTAAACGATATGATGTTTCACTCTCGATTGGTAATGATAATTTAAACAATGCAAACTTGAAGTGAAATCTTTACAAACATATACTCATTATCGAGTTGCAGTTATTTTTTTTCTGCGACTCGTATTTTTTGAAATGATTTTGCTACTGAAACCTTTTTTCTATTTTACTTACTGTGTATATTAAAATTGTATCGATAAAGTGCTACGATCTCACAAAGGAACTGCGCGTTCCCGATATATTATTTGGGTAATTGACAATTCTGTGATAATAAGCACAAAACAGTGTTGCTATATTCCATTTCACAAGTTAAATTTTGTTTTTTATTTCTTAAATAAATTTTCCCTGAATACTATAACTCCATTTTTTTAACTATACGCTCTACCTATATTTAAACATGCCAAAAATTTTAATTGTATATTATCACAGAATTCATTTTCCCTGTTCTTATATTTAAACTAAATTTTTTTTAGTTACAAATTATTATTGAAGTAAAGAATTAATTAATCAAATAAGTAGCAGTAAGTCTCTAGTTAATTAGTTTTATAAGTTTTATAAGCTATCCTGAATCCCTCTACACACAATCAGATTTTGTGAAATTTTATCAAAAGAGATTTTATCAAATTATAGTTTGCGTCTATTATATATAACTATTGTTTCAATTTCTTCGCATATGCATATGTTGTGTCTACAACAAGTTTTCAACTTGAAAATGTCCACAGTGTCGAAAGCAAACTTACGCCCAACGTCTCTAAATATATCTTTCATCTCTGCCACAATCCCGTGTATTATAAATCAGAGTGAGAGCAATCGAGCCTCGAATCCAGTTGAAACCTACTACAGCATTGCCGCGAAGGTAATTGAACTCTGTTGACCTTAATGTAAGGGAATAAACGAGCGTGATTAAATAGCTATCGTGTGACACGAACGAGAACTTTCATCGTCCTCCGCGTAACGAAATTTAACAAGTCGCTTTCTTCAGCCGCGCCGAAGATTGGACGAAGACTCGAACATTTTGTTTATATATACTACTACTGATTTTATGTCACTATAAGAAATAGTTGTATTTTCCTACACTTTCGCATACACATATAAACACAATCGGTCGAGTCATCATCTGATGTAAATGTATTTCTGATGAGTATACGACCGCTTTGTAATATAGTGTATATTTCTTGTAATCAGTTTAGGGCAGGTGCCCTATACTCTGATTAAAAGTGTATTTCTGTATATGTGATGACTTGTAACAACACTGATTTCGATTAGGAGAATGATTTCTATTTGTATCGCGTAACGAACAATTGTCAAATAAAAATTATCATATACAATTTGCTTTTGTTAAATCTCATTAAATTGTAAACAACTGACACATCTATCTAAGAATTCAAATAAATATAATTTTGCTTGAATTCTTAAAAATGTTGATATAAATTAAAATATTTAACACATTAAACAATCTATAAATATTAGCGTTAATTATATAATTACTATATATTAATTATTATAAATAATTATTATATTAATATACACATCTCTCTCTCTCTCTCTCTCTCTCTCTCTCTCTCT